TCTCTCTTTGAGATTATTTACCCCTGATAATATATAGTGATAGATTGTTCCTTGTCGTGCCGCGCCTTAATTGTCACAAGCAAAACTAAGTGCATATATAATTATAATGTAGTAATATAGTAGTCGTAATATTGCTACGTCTATAATCGAACAAATGACAGCTGCATATGTCTCAGTTCACATATAGAGTTACGATAAGAAAAAAACGCGCGCGCGTGTGTGTGTGTTTAAAAAGCTCCCCCCCCGCCGCACAAGGTGTGAATTCGGCACGCACCAACAGCGCTGAGCTAAACGCGCGCGCCATATGCTCATGTAAACCTATATATGCGTAAACCAGCTAGCACGCGGTGCGCATTTGGTGCGCGCCGAATTCACACCATATGCGGCGGGGGGGGGGCTTTTTAAACACACACGCGCGCGCGCACGTTTTTTTCTTATCGTAACTCTATATGTGAACTGAGACATATGCAGCTTTTATTTGTTCGATTATAGACGTAGCAATATTACTGCTACTATATTACTACATTATAATTATGCACTTTGCACTATGCAATTTACACTATGCACTTAGTTTTGCTTGTGACAATTAAGGCGCGGCACGACAAGGAACAATCTATCACTATATATTATCAGGGGTAAATAATCTCAAAGAGAGACACCCATAGAAACAATATAGTAGACTATATATTTCTGGGAAATGATTAGACCTCTCAAAACCTAAAAATGTTCGTTCTGTGTTGCAGTTTTGAACACGTCGCACAAAAGTTTTAACACTAAACAGGGCGACGTAGTATATCTGGTTAGAGGATCCATTTAGAATTTGTGTCATTTAATTATATAAGATAGAGTAGATCGTGAGGTATGGGTGAGACATTGTACTTACGAGGACAATATTTCGCGTTAAAAATTATGTGACAAACAAAAGTTGCAATAAGAAAATGTAAAAATCTTGAACTTAGAAAGAACGTATTGCGTTATTGATCCAAAATAACGCAATCGACAAGATTCGTTAGATAGACTTAATTAGTGTATTTACACAGTCGTGACAACAGTATTTGCCCTTACAAGAACCGTCCCTACCCCCTGATTACTTGCCGCTTACATGCTGGGTCCAATGCTCACACAGTTACACAGACTATGAAAGAAAATGAGAGAAATGACGCGGTATATAAAAAATGAAAATTCGGTCATGGTTGGAAGAGGCAACCTGATTTATTAACAGATTTGCAATGATAACCTATCCCATACAGAAAATGTAACACGTCCCATCAAAGTACGTATGAATACTTTCCTCGTGGCTCCTTGTGTGCAAAACCTCCATCCATGATAGCGCCCCACTTCTCTGTTATACGACACTCTCAGAGAATCAATAGTGCCAGATATCCCATAATACTAAGCCGCTTACAAGAACGTCACTTCCATAAAATCCAAAAGGCACTCAATGAGAATATTATAATTCCTATAAATAAACAACCTGGCACTGGAACTCAGCTACGTTAGGTTTCCCTCACAAGGAATGCATGTTATTATTGCAGCAGAGAAAACATGGCAAAAATAACAACTTACAGTATAGCAACTAAAATGTTCTCCGGGTAAAATTTACTTAACTGTAAAATAACATACATTCACTTAAAATTAAAAGGCAAGATAGTTTTACTTAAAACATCACTCCACCCTGAACTGCATGTACTTTACTGCTCTATCTAGTAGCATTCCTGGAAGCAGCAATGGAGGGAGACATATGGCAGGGTCACAGCAGCCGCAGATGCCTGGTTCACACTCAATATCTCAACAGTAGCAGTAGATGTTAGGTATGACCCGACACTCGCTACACACACACCCACACACTACACACACTACACACTACATCACACACACACCACACACTACACACTACATACACACAGCACCACAGATTCATGACCAAATTCTTCCCCACGACTTCTCTGCTATTTGCCACATTAACTTCACTATATACGAGAATATATGTATCACAAATTGTATCATGAACACACACACACATATATATATATACATAGTAGCACATATACTTATATATACAGAGTATATATATGTTCATGATCGTTATAACAACAACTTTTGTAATACCTTCGTTTAGAATAGGTTTCCATTCCTTTCACATTATACCATACTATGGTATAAATGATGCTAAAATGTCATTTCAATTAAAATACATAAACTTCAATACTTACGATAATCAATTGCATCAAGAACTTATCAAGAGGATGCGTGTCCACGAACCAGCTATAATAATTAATAATCCATATAAAGTGGAAACTGCTAAAAGTAAGTGTGATTGTTCCTGCACGTCGCACAGAAAATAAAACACTATCGATATAGATAAGGAAATCCATCACAAGTATCATTACATCATTCACAGTTTCTAAATCATCACATCACCTCTACGAGGCTCTATCCCAAGGTCATAAGGTCAAGTCCTCCTGCTTCTGCCTTAAGGAAGCTTCCAGTGGACCACTATAGGAGCCAGCATGTTCTCTGCCATGTCTTTCACGTACAGCACCTGTGAATGAGAGATAGACTCGGGATGAGAGACGGACTTATCACAGATGTAGCGTAAACATTGACTCTCGCAAAACGATGCGTGAGTAGCAGACGCCTAGACCGTCTCTACGTGACGCAGGTCAACTGCCACATGCGTTTGATGAGCCTACCACTCGATGCCATCGCATTTATAAATCGACCCGGAAACAATAAAAACAATTTACTCTCAGTAGTATTACTAGTGGTAACCGCTGTGCGCGTCTCTCGCGAATATAGCGCGAAACAGAAAATTATCGGAAGCGAAAGCCGTCCGTCCGTCTACGGAAATCTATCTTCTGCGAACGTAAGATCTCGCGCGCGCGTGCATGAAGCCCCACCTGGTGTTTGTCATCGTAGGTGAACGTCGCGGACTTGCCGTTGACGGTGACGTTGCTGGGTGCGGCGCGCATCCCGTACACCGTCACACCGCCCAGTGTCATCCACGATGACTTGTAGCCAACGATGGTGGGCTTACAGGTCAGGGACGTCTGTAGAGAGAGAGAGAGAGAGAGAGGTAGAGGTGGGAGAGAAAGAGAGAGAGCAAGAGAAGAGAGAGAGAGAGAGAGAGAAGAGAGAGAGTTAGAGAGAGAGAGAGAGAGAGAGAGGAGAGAGAGAGAGAGAGAAGAGAGAGAGAGAGAGAGAGAGAGAGAGAGAGAGAGAGAGAGAGAGAGAGAAGAGAGAGAGACGAGAGAACTGAGAGAGAGAGAGAGAGAGACGAGAGAAGAAGAGAGCAGAGGGAGAGAAGAGAGAGAAAGAGAGAAGATGCAGAGAGAAGAGAGAGTAGAGAGAGAGAGAGAGAGATGAGAGAGAGAGAGAGAGAGAGAGAGAGAGAGAGAGAGAAGAAGAGAGAGAGAGAGAGAGAGAGGAGAGAGAGAGAGAGAGAGACGAGAGAGAGATGAGAGAGAGAGAGAGAGAGAGAGAGAGAGAGAGAGAGAGAGAGAAGAGAGAGAGAGAGAGAGAGAGAGAAGAGAGAGAGAGAGAGAGAGAGGTAGATGTGGGAGAGAGAGGAGAGTAGAGGAGGAAGAGAGAAAGAGAGAGAGAGAGCGGAGAGAGGTTAAGGTGGGAAGAGAAGGGAGAGGTAGAGAGGAAGAGAGAGGAGATGAGAAAGCGAGAGAGAAGAGAGGTAGATGGAGTGGAGAGAGAGCGGAGAGGTAGAGGTGGGAAGAAAGGAGAGGTAGAGTGGAGAGAGAGAGGGAGAGGTAGAGTGGGGGGAGAGAGAGGGAGAGGTAGAAGTGGGAGAGCAGGAGAGAGAGAGGTAGAGGGAGAAAGAGAGAGCGAGGAGAGGTTAGCGGTGGAAAAGAGGAGGAGGTAGAGAAGGGAGAGAGAGAGAGAGAGAAAGTGAGACGAGAGAGAGGCGGAGAGAGAGGGGAGAAAGAGAAAGAAATAATATTATTTATACATTTTAACTAGTTAATTACGTGAAGATGTTCACTTTATTTTAGTAATTATTTACTTATCTTAAGATTACTCAATGCCATATTAATTACGATCTGTTTCTCCCTCACAATGCCAAGGAGTGGCTACGCCATGTGCCGCGACACCGCTCCCGCTTCCTCGGGGTCCCCCCATCCACGAGGCTGCGAACCATAACGACCACTTACATGTGTAGCATTGAAGAGTAAATAGTTGTACGCGCAGCTCCGTAGAGCACAGGCAAATCGCAGAAATGCCCTCGCCGTCGTCCCAGTAGAGGTCACGGCACTAGCCACCCCCATTAGGATAGACGCTAGCGGGGTCCACCAACAAGTGGGAGGAAGAGCCAAATTTGTTCCTTACTGACTGCCAAGGAAGGCGAAAAAAGGTTAGAGGCCTGTGAACTGAATGCTCTTCGTGATTATCAATGCAGCTGAGGATATTGTGAGCGACTCAAGAAGAGAGAGAGAGATGAGAGAGAGAGCAGAGAAGAGCAGAGAGAGAGTGAGAGAGGAAGAGGAGGAGAGAGAAGAGAGAGAGAGAGAGAGAGAGAAGAGAAGAGAGATGAGGAGAGAGAGGAGAGAGAGAGAGAAAGCGAGAAGAAGAGAACGAGAAAGAGAGAGCGAGAGAGAGAAAAGAGAGAGAGAGAGAGAGAGAGAGAGAGAGAGAGAGAGAGAGGAGGAAAGAGAGAGAGAGAGAGGAGAGAGAGAAGCGAGAGAGAGAGAGAAAGAGTAGAGAGAGAGAGGGAGAGAGAGAAAGAGAGAGAGAGAGGATGCCTTAATGTTTTCACTGTCATCTCGCCACCAACTAGACAACAACAACAACAAACAACAACGACACATTCCCATAAAGTCAAAGTCCCTCATTAGCCATCCAGACCAGGCCAGCATTCTATCGAGGGGGAGGAGAGGAGGGGAGGGGGAGGAGAGGAAGGGAGAGGGGAGTGAGCGGGGAGGAAGAAGGGAAGGGAGAGTGGGGAAGGGAGGGGGAGGGGATGGAGGAGGGTAGACAAACCTATAACTAACCGGATGGTGAGTTGCAGGCTCCTGCGAGTGGAAGGATCCGGACGCCTCTCTGCACAGTGAAGGTACAATATACAAGCAAAACATGGCGCCGCCTCCTCACCCAACTCCACCAACCATAGCCAGCTGGTCACGTGTGGCAGGGGGAGGGGGAACGGAATAACGGGGAGGGGATGGGGAGAGGTAACGACAATACATATCTGAGGTGGTGAGTGCACGAGCGTCCTGCTGGGAAGGATCCGACCCTCTGCTCACCGTGAAGGTTGATCGTGTCCATCGGTGCGTCCAAGGTCACGTAGCGACCACTAGATGGCAGCACGTGGCCCGTGTAGAAGTTGTACCAGGTCGCGCGTGGCAAGTACGCCAACACACTCGTCGTATTCTGCAACAATGCGACGCGAGGAAATGATGGGGGGGGGGTGAGTCGATCGTAGTTACTGATGGTCTTAAGAGGTAACGCGTAAGCAAAATGTTTTCCGCAATAGCTAGCGACCAACGATGAGGTCCTTTGGTCTTAGTTAATAACGGTTTTAAACAAAATTCTTGTCTATGTAGTCTTGATAAAGTTACTGTATACGCCATATTTTTCGCGTACAGATATTTTTGCGAATTCAGACTTGACGGACAATTTCGCGAGTGGTTAATTTCGCGGTCACTGAATTATGAATTATTCGGTATTATTTGGCATGAATTATTCACGTGTTGTTATTCCCTGAACGTCAGGGAACACGTTCGCGAAATTCGCGAAAAGTAAACCACAGCGAAATATACAGCTTATATACAGTCCGTGAAACTAACTGTTAACACCCCGGGGGTGCGTTGTCAGAAACAAAATTAGTCTGAACGAACTCTTTCTCGTAAACTGGACCTCTGTACACTGCGTATTAGAAACCAACCATGCATATGTATATCTGCCTATGAACATGACGGTCAATGAGAAAAAAAATAATGTTAAGATTAATGTTAAAACTAATTTTGTTTCTGACAGCGAGTCCCAGAGTTTTCTGATCGCATGCTGCCAGTGTCTCTATTCGGTCCCAACAGTGTCTGGAGCCTGTTGTCAGGAACAAGATTAGTCTTAACATTGACTTTTTCTCATAGACTGCTGACAGAAACATGGTAAAGTCACAAGTTTCTCATACACACTACATAGAAGTCCAGTCTACGAGAAAAAGCTCATTTTAAGAATAATGTTATCAGGCGTTGTTTTGACAAAATGGTTCAAGGATAGAGATGATGTCCAGGACAGTGATTGGATAGGATGATCTTTATTACTGGACATGTTCTCTATCCTTGAGCCGACAAAATTATGCCCTTAAATTCTGCAGCCTGAGAAGCAGTACTTACCTCCGTGAGAACAGGTGAGATGAGGAGAGCATCTCCCCACAAGAACTGTCTGTCTATGTCATACGTCTGCTTATCCTTGGGGAACCTAAACAGTAAACGTGGATAACAACATTACAACGGCACGACGCATTACTCACATCCAAAATACTCGAGTTTATTTCTTACGAAAGGAGAAGACGTTACGAGCGAAATGTTTGAGGAGATCTTTGTGGATTTTGGGAACTAAGAAAAAGAAGATTACTAGTTAGATGTATATGTTATTATTATTGTTCTTGTTGTTGTTTCTGCTGTTGTTTTTGTTGTTATTGTTTATTGTTGTTGTTTATTGGTTGTTGTTGTTGTTGTTAGTTGTTGTTGTTATGTTGTTGTTGTTGTTGTTGTTTGTTGTTTATGTTGTTGTTGTTGTTGTTGTTGTTGTTGTTGTGTGTTTATTGTTGTCGCTGATTAACACGTACTTTATATACATTGTTATGCGTATTGGTTCAATACTACATTTAACGGTTGTTCCATAGCAGTAACTAAGAGTACTCTCATTGTGACAATAACAATACAAAACGGATCTGTCTGGTTCGTCGTCAGTTGTTCGGCGAATTCGGATTCTCGGGTTATCCGGCTGGACACGTTGCAGTTCTGCTGCTGCAGGCCTCAGGATTCCGGCGGTGTTTGGGGCGGGCCGATGCAGTCGTCGAGTCGTGCTGCCATGACGACGCGCTACCTGCTGCTGCCTTACATCTTACACGCAGTTTCAACCAACGCGCACAGCACAGGTTCGCTACTGTCGCTACACCACTGTTCTTTCGCGTAAGTCAGTCTGAACAACTTTCCCTATACAATTAGTATTTTAGCAAAGACTTTATGTTAATGATAGTTTGTAAAAGATAATAATGATAATATAATATCGATCATCATCATCATTCATCAT